AGAGGGAAGCTTCGAGCGATACTGTGGAGCTTTGGGCTTCTGGAATGGCTCTGTTCCTCGCTGTATTGCTGTTACCTGTAACCCACCTGAGGTGATTGATAATGGTTACATAAGCTTTGATGGGAGCCTGTATGTAGGTTCCCCAATAGAGTACGAGTGCAAGGTTTGTTACAAGCTGAATGGAACACGATACAGAACCTGCAATACAGATGGTACATGGACCCTGGAGGAACCAACTTGCAACCAAATATACTGCAGTGAAATTCCTGCTAGCATCCCGAATGGGAGAGTTATAGGTGATGATAATTCCTGTGGCTCACTCGTGGAATACGAGTGTTCTCCTGGGTATCGCAGAAATGGCAGGCGAAATGCCACATGTAAAGAGACTGGAAAGTGGAGTTCGGAAACGCCAGTATGCGAGAGGATCACCTGTGGACCGCCACCTCTTTTGGCAAATGGTCATCACATAGGTCAGTCGTATGATTTCACAGACAAAATTACCTTTGAGTGTAATGAAGGCTACCTCATGACTGGACCCAAATTACGTGTTTGCCAAGCAGACGGCACGTGGTCTGAGTCTTCTCCCATGTGTAACATTGTAAATTGCACCAAGCCTCAAGGGGTCTCAAATGCAAAGATAAGGATGAGTGGTCTGTTCTTTGGGTCTTATATTGAGGTGGTATGCAATCCAGGATACACCATGGATGGGGACAAAGACCTAATGTGTAATGCGGATGGAAACTGGGATAAAGAAATGCCATACTGTTTGCCAGTCATTTGCCCACCTGCTCCCCAACTACCATATGCAACTTACAACTCGAGTGAGAAACAGTTCGAAGCCTTCACGGTCTTGAAATATACCTGTGACAGTGGATATCGTTCTGCAGGATCAAATGACATTTTGACATGTGGAGCTACAGGTGAATGGGAAGGCGAAGCAATTCAGTGTCAGCCTGTGGACTGTGGGGATCCTGGTACTCTGCCCACACACACACACACACACACACACACACACACACACACACACACACACACACACACACACACACACACACACACACACACACACACACACACACACACACACACACACACACACACACACACACACACACACACACACACACACACACACACACACACACACACACACACACACACACACACACACACACACACACACACACACACACACACACACACACACACACACACACACACACACACACACACACACACACACACACACACACACACACACACACACACACACACACACACACACACACACACACACACACACACACACACACACACACACACACACACACACACACACACACACACACACACACACACACACACACACACACACACACACACACACACACACACACACACACACACACACACACACACACACACACACACACACACACACACACACACACACACACACACACACACACACACACACACACACACACACACACACACACACACACACACACACACACACACACACACACACACACACACACACACACACACACACACACACACACACACACACACACACACACACACACACACACACACACACACACACACACACACACACACACACACACACACACACACACACACACACACACACACACACACACACACACACACACACACACACACACACACACACACACACACACACACACACACACACACACACACACACACACACACACACACACACACACACACACACACACACACACACACACACACACACACACACACACACACACACACACACACACACACACACACACACACACACACACACACACACACACACACACACACACACACACACACACACACACACACACACACACACACACACACACACACACACACACACACACACACACACACACACACACACACACACACACACACACACACACACACACACACACACACACACACACACACACACACACACACACACACACACACACACACACACACACACACACACACACACACACACACACACACACACACACACACACACACACACACACACACACACACACACACACACACACACACACACACACACACACACACACACACACACACACACACACACACACACACACACACACACACACACACACACACACACACACACACACACACACACACACACACACACACACACACACACACACACACACACACACACACACACACACACACACACACACACACACACACACACACACACACACACACACACACACACACACACACACACACACACACACACACACACACACACACACACACACACACACACACACACACACACACACACACACACACACACACACACACACACACACACACACACACACACACACACACACACACACACACACACACACACACACACACACACACACACACACACACACACACACACACACACACA